TAATATTCTCCAGAAACTTCCTGTTGAGGGTGGGAATACAGTTTAGACTCGTGTACCCATTGGAGTATCTCTCTGTATCGTATTTGTGCGACACAGTGTTTGCTGTCTCGCGTTGCAAGACAGAGAATGATGTCTCGCATTGCGAGACAGAGAATGTTGTCTCGCTCAGCGAGACAGATTTTGCTGTCTCGCTCAGCGAGACAGAGTTTGCTGTCTCGCTCAACGAGACAGAGAGTATATAAGTCGGACTTGGGCTTTTAGGGTTTTTTCACGTCGGATTTTGGCGATTTTTTGAGTGATTCTTGGGCGATTTTCGAGCGATTTTCGACCAGTTCTTCATCTCTTCTTCTTCTCTTCATTTCTGATTTGGGTAGGGCTTCGTTTGGGGAGATTCCAGCCGGATTTCAAAGGTCTGTTCATCCTCTTTCTCCAAAATTTTGATTTTCTTCAACTGTGACTGTGCATGCATTGTTTCGGCCATACTTTGTGATATTTTGGTCGATTTCATGTTCAAGAATCCTAAACTCCTCTTGGGTTTCAATGTAGATCACATACCCATCATGTCGCCGCGTAGAGCTCGAGGGACTCGAGGCCGTCCGACTGTTCAGAGCCCCGAGGAGGCTGCCCCTGTTGCCGCTTCGTATGGGGGTACATTTCTCTCACCCTGTCGCAATTTTAAACACTGTATTTCTTCAATTTCATGCGTCAATATTCGTGTTTGCATGCAGATCCTCGTTTGTATCCTTTGAGATACCCTCGAGAAGAGCCGGTATCCTCCTTTGAGGGGATCGACGCTTAAAAGTGTTTGTTTTGCTTTGACAAAACACACTTCATAATATACAGGGGCGATTTCATATCATCCCACGTGTATTGAAAAGTTTTGGTATGCCGTTATAATGCCCGTGCATAGTAACGCGTATCTCCTTTATACATGTGGTAGATGGAAAATCGTCACACCTGCTGTGGAGATAGCGACTATATCTTATGGAATAAGATATACCGCTTTTCTCTAAAATTTTAGGACTATACTTACACAGCTTATGTGTATCTCCTGTATCAGTCCATTTTCCTTCCACAATCTTCACCGTCGATACAGTTACGGGCCAGAGTAGTGTCACTCATTCTTATTATGATGGGCTACCGTTAATCAAGTCTGCTCCTCAGTTTAAGTCAGATTACAGCGAAGGGGCCCGAGAGTTGATTCAACGAGGTAGTTGCCGTGTTCTGCGATGGTTAATCACGGACGCACCCTTAATTTCAGAGTAGGATTCAAACCAATGTATAAGGAAACCAGACTTCTTGTTTGGTGACTCCATAAAGGATCCGGCGATTGCTTTCTGCAAGCCTGCACAGTGGTTACACGAGGCTGGTTCGTCATTCCTTTACTTGCCTTTTATCCCTCGAGAGCATTCATTGTTAAAATTTAGGAATTTATCGGTTGGACGTGAAATGTTCTGGAGATTAACCGAAAACCACGAACGTATTCATTGCGGTTTCATCGGGAAAGAGGCTACTCCAGGTTCCAGTGAAAGAGCTTCTATACGAGGGCTTCATCCGGGTGTCTTAGGCCAAGACAATATACCTCAGAATGAAAAGACAGCGCAGGCCAACACCGTGAAGAATCGTTTGGCTGCAATGAAGAAGAAATTACCCCACGAGAGTTTCAGATGTTATGGATGGGTCCATTATTATGGGGATAAATGGTGGTGGACCAGAATGACTCGATATGTGTTGAATCGTTGATGGCAAGAGTTAGCAGAATTAGGGTTGGAAGTCCCGATCCGTGCCAGCATGCATGGTCTGCAAATTAGTGTAGGTCATTTTCTTCGTCTGTT